CGAAAAGTCTGCGGTAAAAAACAAAACTTGTAGCCGTTTGAAAGAATGGTTACATACAGTGGTCAAAATACGCGTCAATCTCGTGTCATTACCGTTGCCAAATACATCCGACGTGTCGTATATATGATGAGATTGATAATCCTCTGCTTCCGAGCTCACCGTAAACTACACATGGTGGTGGGAGGAGGGACCCAGAAGAGCATCAGCGGTGTGGGTGCACTAGGTATTATGATCCGGATGAAACGACAATCAATTGAATCAGGACACGTGATTATGGGGAGCGTCGTCGTGTCACTCTCACACCTCTAAAAAAATTATTTTTTATTTTTTGTGTGTCTGTAGATCACTGGTTTTCAACCGTCTCCCGAAGCCGAAATCTTAACTTCTAATTTACGGAGAACCTAAGTCCACCAGCGACCAGTTATATTGATTCCCCTTTCTTTTTTTTTTTCTTTTAAAAAAAAAAAAAAATTATGGAGAGATTAGTTACTCTCACCACAGTGTCAGGCATACCATAATCTTGAGCCAGAAGGACTTACGAGTGGCACCCAACTATTAGCTATCACCAGTATGAATTCATATAAAAAATTACAGATCACGCACTAATAAGGATTGCTAACAGCACTACTTGAACACTAGTGGGGTGTTGATAAAAACAATGAGGAAATTTTAATATCCCTTTTTTCAACTCTAAATTGTAGTGCTGATAAAAACAAAACAAAATCCCTAAATAAAAAAGTGTGCCACAGATGAAATGTTATATATTATATTGTATAAAACGGTTATAAGCATGGCTCAACCTAACATAGATTTAAACAATAATAGTGTCTTTAAAGTCACTACTACAAAAAGTGACAAAGACGACCAGAAAAAAACGACGATAGAAAAAAAAACCGTCGTTGTATTTAAAAAAACAACGGTAATAAAAAACCGTCGTGGATAAGTGACTTAAACAACTAAAAAATGGAGGTACTGTTGAATATTTTTTTATAACGACGCACACAAATAAAAAAGCGTCGTCTTATTAAAAAGGTTTTCTTCAGAGTTAAAATCTGACCAAAAAACAACGACAGCAGGTATGACAAGCGTCGTCTTTTAAAAATCAAGTATCCTTTTTTTGGTATAGACATGGTTGTTTTAAAAGAACTGTCGTCTATTATATGTAAAGATGACGTTTTTTTTTTTAAAAGGGTCGTGTATTATGAAGTAAAGATGACGGTTTTTAAAAAAGGGTCGTCTATTATGAAGTAAAGATAAAGGTTTTTTTTAAAAAGGGTCGTCTATTATATGTAAAGATAATGGTTTGTTTAAAAAAGGGTCGTCTATTATGAAGTAAAGATGACGGTTTTTTAAAAAAGGTCGTCTATTATATGTAAAGATGATCGGAGTTAAAATAACCGTTAAATTGTGATTTTTCATTTATAATCGTTGAAAAGTTTTGTCCCATTACTTGATCTTTGAATGTTTATTTTTTTCGATTTTTGGCTTATATGATTTTGAAGTATAAATAAACAAGTTTGACGGTTGGATCGTTAAAACTAGTTTTGTTGAATGTGTATCCCATCAAAACAATATATTCACTAACAATTAAGAGTTTATCTATACTTTCGTTAAATATAACATAAGATTTTGTGGTATTCACTAGTGTAAATATTTTAAATTGAAGATCAAATTCAGTCATTGTATTCATATAGGGTCAATGAGTGTAGCTGTAAAAATTATCAAAATCGAAGTTAAAATTACCGTTAAATCATGATTTTTCATTTATAACCATCGAAATTTTTTGTCCCGTTACTTGATCTCTAAATGTTTATTTTTTTCGATTTTTGGCGTTTATGATCTCGAAGTATAAACAAACAAGTTTGACGGTTGGATCGTTGAAACTAGTTTCTTAGAATGCGTATGCCATCAAAATAATATATTCACTAACAATTAAGAGTTTATTTATACTTTCGTTAAATATAACATAAGATTTTGTGGTATCCACTAGTGTAAATATTTTAAATTAAAGATCAAATTCAATCATTATATTCTTATAGGGTCAATAAGTGTAGCGGTAAAAATCATCAAAATCGGAGTTAAAATAACCGTTAAATCATGATTTTTCATTTATAACTGTCGAAATTTTTTGTCCCGTTACTTGATCTCTGAATGTTTATTTTTTTCAATTTTTGGCGTATATGATCTTGAAGTATAAACAAACAAGTTTGATGGTTGGATCGTTAAAACTAGTTTCTTAGAATGCGTATGCCATCAAAACAATATATTCACTAACAATTAAGAGTTTATTTATACTTTCGTTAAATATATCATAAGATTTTGTGGTATCCACTAGTGTAAATATTTTAAATTGAAGATCAAATTCAGTCATTGTATTCTTACAGGGTCAAGGAGTGTAGCTGTAAAAAAATCTTCAAAATCGGAGTTAAAATAACTGTTAAATCGTGATTTTTCCTTTATAACCATGGAAAATTTTGTCCCGTTACTAGATCTCTGAATGTTTGTTTTTTGCAATTTTTGGGGTATTCAATCTTGAAGTATATACAAACAAGTCTGTAAAAGTTTGCGCGACCAACAGTTCGTCGCGCAAAATTCTAAAAATTTGGGCTGGTATCAAAAATGGGTCGTTTATTATATGTAAAGATGATGGTTTGTTTAAAAAAGGGTCGTCTATTATGAAGTAAAGATGACGGTTTTTAATAAAAGGTCGTCTAATATAAAGTAAAGATTATGGTTTTTTTTTTTTTAAAGGGTCGTCTATTATAAAGTAAAGATGACGGTTTTTAAAAAAAATGTCGTCTATTATATATAAAGATGATGGTTTGTTTAAAAAAGGGTCGTCTATTATGAAGTAAAGATGACGGTTTTTAATAAAAGGTCGTCTAATATAAAGTAAAGATTATGGTTTTTTTTTTTTTAAAGGGTCGTCTATTATAAAGTAAAGATGACGGTTTTTAAAAAAAATGTCGTCTATTATATATAAAGATGATGGTTTGTTTAAAAAAGGGTCGTCTATTATGAAGTAAAGATGACGGTTTTTGTTAAAAATGGGTTGTCTATGATATGTAAATATGACGTTTTTTATATATAAAAAAGGGTCGTCTATGATATGTAAAGATGACAATTTTTTTTTTAAAAAAAAACGTCGTCTTTTAAAACACGCTAAAAAATGGCCGCTTAAGTGAATTCGAGCTCGACAAATTTTTAAATTTTCACCCATCTTTGAAAACCTTATCTCTCATTAACAAGCGTCGTCTTTTAAAACACGCTAAAAAAAGGCTACTTAAGTGAATTTGCGCTCGACAAATTTTCAGATTTTCCCCGTCTCTGAAAACCTTATCTCTCCCTCCTTGAAACCCTCATGCACTCTCTAAAACACCCTCATGAAACTCTCTATAAAATCATCAAAAAATTGATATCAATGAAGAAGTTGAGAGATTGAGGTCTTCGCAGATCCATAAGATGTAGAGGGAGGTTCTGTATTTGAGAATCAAAGTTGGTTGAAAGGTTTGATTTGAAAGTCACTTAATCTCTCAATACCCCTCTATATCTTGCTAGTGAATTCTGGATTAGTCTCTTTGGTTTCTGGTATGTTCTTTGTCTCCCTAATTTCATATTTTGTCTCTCTTGATTTGTCTTGTTTGTTTACATATTTTTTTATATTTCTGGTTTCTTTTTAGATTTTCTGATTTGGTTATTAGGAGATGAGGAGGAAGCTTGCAGATTTATAACTTTTTCTTTTGCAGGTTTTCTATGTGTGTATGTTTTTTTGTTGTTGAAGATTTGTTACCTTCTCTTTTCACATCATTTTATTTATATATTTTTTCTTTTGCAGGTTCTCGATTGTCTTTTTTACAAGTTTTCTATGGAAATATGGACCAATGGTAAAATTTCTCTTTCACCTAATTTTTTATGTTTATAATCTTAGCTTTTTTTTTTTTCTCTCTTTGTCATTTTGATTTATTTACAGGGATGATGGAGGAGAATTCAGTTGTGCATCATTTGTATGTTTGGATGAAGAATGCTTGGATTAGGAGTACGTGAGTCTTGTTAGGAATTATGTTTGTTGTAGAATAAAGATTGGTTAACTATGGTAATAACTATTGAATCTTCAAGTTTTATGAAAGAAACTATTTTTGAGTGTATATATTCATTAATAAAGCATTATGGTTGGTTTTCTAGTTAAAATCGTTGTATAGCATCATAGGAAATCAAAAAGAACTAAAATGTAGCAGTTTGGAAACTTATTAGATGACGGTTTTATAAATCATGGTCTTTACAGATAATTAACGACGGTTTTTATAAAAATGATCATCTATTATAGGTAAAGATGACGATTTTTATATAAAAAAAGTCGTCTATTATATGTAAAGATGACGATTTTTATAAAAAAAGTCGTCTATTATATGTAAAGATGACGGTTTTTTTAAAAAGTGTCATCTATTATATGTAAAGATGACCCTTTTTTTATAAAAAAGGTCGTCTATTGTGAAGTAAGGATGACCTTTTTTGAAAAATGTCGTCTATTGTATGTAAAGACGACGGATTTTTTAAAAGGGTCGTCTATTGTATGTAAAGATGACGTCTTTATAAACAATCCACGACTGTTTTCATAAAAAATCGTCATCTTTACATACAATACAAGACGGTTTTATTAAAAACAGTCGTTATTCCTCTTATAATTAACGATCTTTACCTCTAAAAAATAACAATTTTCTTTAAAAACCGTCGTCGTTACAGATAAACAACGACTGTGAAAAGCCGTCGTAGTTTGACACCCAAATAGATGACGGTCGATTTCACGACGGTTGGAAAACCTTTTACACGACGGTGGTTTCCCATCGTCTATTTCAATTTTTGTAGTAGTGAGTATTCGGCAATGCATGTTTTGATAAAGCACCGTTTTATTGTTTAAAGGCACTACTATTGTTTAAATCTATGTTAGGTTGAGCCATGCTTTGGGACTGAAGGTGAGCAATGCATGTTTAAACCCAAAACTCCTACATCACCGCTCTTTCATGATCAGCCATTTGATCCTCAAACTCCTGTGCCACCAAAATGAAAATTGACTTCTCCATGAATGTGAGAGATGCCCCAGTGTCAATTATTATCCCCCCACTTCCTTCATATCCTGGAACCACAAATTTGCTTGGGATTTTGATGTGCTTGTGCCCTACCATAATCTCCTCGGGCTTCACATAGTGGTACCCTGAAAAAGGTGAGCTTCCTGCAAACATAGGGCTCTTGAGCAATTGTGTGTAGCTGAGCCCTACCATAGTTGCGTTGTCCAAAACAAGGTTGGTGCTCTTTGACATCATCATGCTCATGAGACAAGCAGCAAAAGGAAAATGTGGTGAGACCCAATTGGGATGGCAGTGATGTTGGTTCACTGCCAAACCCAGCAAGTCCAACAGGTTGCTGGGATGAAAATTGGAGCAGCCCACAAGAAAACTTGTCACATTTTGTACCAAAGTTTCCAACATTAAATTCCCAGCTATGGATCCTATTGAAATCCCATAAGTTGTCCATGAAGCAGACAGATAATTATAAGATGGGGCATGGTGCGCCAAGTTTGGATCTGATATATGGGCTGATGATTTGACTGCATTGTTTGTCATTGCACAACACATAGCGAAGCAAGTGCCATGGATTCTAATGAATTCTCTCTCAGTTACAGAGAATGATTTAGATTGTTGTTTGTTAAGCTTTTGGTGTTAATTTAATCAACCATGATCAAACAAAACATACAGCAGCAGGGAGGCAGTAGGCACATAAATATTTTAAACAACCAAGCACAAAAATAAAACCCTCCTAAACGTGGAGGACAAGGAAAAAAGGGCCCAAAAAAATTAGCCCAACTAAGCAACACACATAGTCGAACTCATACGGTTAAATCCTAAACCTCATACGGTTCAAGTCGAACTCCAAATGAAAATCCGTAAACAGATAATTACCAATAATGATCTTGGGACCGCCATTTAACTCAACATTATCGTCATACAAGAAATAATTAGTGGGAGGAAACACCATTTTTGCACCACCATCAAACACAAAACTTAATCCTGGGACACTCTTTAACGTCTACACCAACAGTGCTGAAGCAAGGTCCTAGAACCCCTTGCTTAGGAGCTCTCTTATACTCACCCATTTGATTCACAAACTCGTCTGCCACTTGTCCTAAGATGGAGTTGTCCACGTAAGTAAATCCGGGCATGCCGGGGTCGATGTCCCACCATTCCCATCAGATCCTGGTTTCGATCTTCATGTGGAATCTTAGTACTCCTATTGATCCCAACAATAATTTCTTCAAGATTCACATATCTATATCCATAGAAATTAGGCATGCCCGGGCCTTCCACCAATGGCGTGTAGCTCAAGTCATTGTACACTAAATCATCATTCAAAACTAGGGCACTATGTCTTCCAGTGTCATCATAAAAGTGTGACAATAAACAAAAAGATAATTTTTCATGTACCAGTTGTGAAGGCAATGATTCAGGGGAACTATCAAACCCAATACTTCCAATAGGCAAATGGGTCGATTTTTTTGTGCACCCAAACACAAAATCAGTCACAGAATCCTCCATCACATCTGTCATTGCATCCCCATTTATAGTCCCTAATGCAAACTCTTCTGTGGTCCAAGAAGCATACATGAACTCATAACAAGAGCAACATTTGGCATAAATGCATTGAGGTTCCTTACGATGAATTAATCAACAAATTTTGGCTTCGCAATGCATCGGCTTTTTAACCGAACGATCTGGGTAAAACATTAGGGCTTTTTTCGAGGTTGATGTTTGGTAAGGAACAATTTGAGCAAGTATATTGGGAAGTGCATGGTGCCCAAACAAGGCTGCTGCCAGTGTCAACGGTGAGGGGTATTGTTTGCTTAGGGTTTCCAAAGCCAAGAGAGATTGTATATGCTCCGAAGTTGTGAGGAAAAATAGGGATTGTGGTAGGAGGATCACTTCCTTTGCGTTTGAATTTATTTTCTTTATTTACCATGTTTTCTTCTTTATTTACCAGTACTAATATATATTTCAGCTTTAAGCTGTTTGAGAATCTGAGTACTTCAGCTACCACTACAGCTTTCACTTTGCTTGTGTTTGACTGTTTAAGTTGTTTTTCCAATTATAATTGTTTCAAATTTCAATGGCTTTTCGAGATATCGTACTAACAACCTTTGACCAATTGGTCATATTGGTTTGTTTGGCTAATTTGCAGCCTCTTTTAAACTCTCATATGTGTTGGGCTTGATCTCCAATAGAGCAATTGGGCTCTTATTTGCTCATTCTTAGAGATGGATTGATTTTTAGCCCAATTACTCTATTGAGCCAGAAATATATTGTTAAGTACAGACTGCAAACATCTATTTGAACTCTTAACCATTTGATCATTAAATTGGGCAGCCACAATCAGCATGATCAGCACCAGGGCGGAAGCCACTTGGCACCTCCCCTCCATGCAGGGTCAGAGTTACGGGCTCAATCCATCTCATGTTCTGATATCATGTTAAGCTTAATAAACTAAAACTTATTTTAGAAAAATTGGTTCATAAGGAAATACTGTCGAGGCAATATGAGACTTCGCTAACACACGTTAACGTTGCAATAATGATACAAATCAATGCTTAAATTACACAAAAAACATCAAGGGCTTGGCAATGTATTGTTTACATCTTGCTTTTTGATCGAATCAAGCAATGCATCATCAGAAGTTTTAATAGTATATATTATTTAGCAAATAAAATTCATAAACCAGAACCATGTGCCATGATCCATAGACATACATGTTTGTCTTTGAGTACTCTTTGAATGATCAAAATTTCACCATCTCAATGGCAACTAAAACCATGGCGCCAATTAATGTCCCAGAACATTATCCACAAACTCTTCCACGCTTTTCGATCAAATATATATAATATGTATGGATCGAGCTTTATATAGTAGATTAGGTTAAATGTATCATATATTAATCGAATCTTTTACGTAAGCTAAGGTTTGGCCGACCACTAAGTTTAATGGCATGGCATGTTTTTTGTCTATAGTATATATAAATCTAAAGACTAAACTGAACTGGTCTCGTACATAAACGATAACATTTTGTATAAAACTGACAAATCATCGCTTTTTGATGAATAAAACTACAATTCTAGAGTTGATATTCTGGAATTATTTTATGTCCAAGAGATCTATCTTTGCGTGTTTCAGATCTTGAAGTTGTGTGTGTTCGATTAATTAATATGTTGTTGCTCCAAGTTAATAGCAAGTAAATTGCAAAGAATCTTGTTCCAAATCATTTGCATATGCCACCATATCTTTGTTTTTGTATAAACGTATCTTGATGGGGGATTTCGCTTCGATCAGAATATCTCTTTTAAGCTTTTTCTTTTTTCTTTTTTTATTTCTATGGAGTCTACAAAATCACGTTGAACTTCCAAGATTTTGGGCACATAGTTAGATTATGTCACTCAGTTCACGTTGTAACATATGGTGCAAGACATAAAAATAAAACACCGATCTAGATTTGAGTTCCGTTACCAACAATTGCTCTTAAGATAGTCCTTTTTTTTATTTTTCTTTTTTTACCGAAAGAAGAAGGAGAAAATAAAAAAGAAGATGATGTCAAATTTGTTCTGAATTCATACATATATTAACTCGTTTGTAGGCGTAGAGTTTTTCTTGAATTTTTTTTTTTAATAAATAAAATTGTTACAAAACCAACTGCCAACATCCAACTTCCAATTTCCAAAGTATGAACAACTTATTTTTTTTTTGGAGGACGAAGGAGCGCATTAAAGATTGAAGGTGACAAGGTGAATTGCAGTCGAGCAGGTGATGATGATTAGGGAAAGGCTGGGGGGCTAGATTGTCTGGAAGATGATCCCATCTTTTACGGTCATAATCATTACAATTTGATTGATTGAGTTTGATTTGTCCAGAAATTGAATGCACATTTATATTATATTTAATAGAAGATCAAAACAATACATACTAAAATAACTTTGATATTATATTATATGGTCAATTTTTTTAATATTAAAGATTCCTTAACAGTGTATTTGGATGAGAAGAATAAATTTAGGATTTTCATTAAAGTCAGAATTTTTAAATTGATATGAATTAATTTCCTTATTTAAATTAAATAAAAATAAAAATATAGAAATTTTGCGTGAAAAAAACATAGAATTTGGAGGTCATAATTGGAGGTCATAAATTCGAACTTTAAATTATATTTAAAAGTTGTCATTTCTTAAATTCCAATAGAAATTGAGTTTAAAAAAAAAAAATAACTTTACAAATAAAGGTTAAATTCCGTATTGGAAAAAGCAAAAGGAGAGAGAAAAATTTTAAAAGAAGCAAAAATGGACAAAAATGCCCTTATTTATTTTTAGATTTCCTAAGGAATCCAATACATTTGCATGTCTTTGATTTGGAAGTTGAGTGGTTTTTTTTTGTCTTTTTTGAAAAAGTTTTGGCTTTTTCCAAAAGTGAAATTTTTTTTATGTCTAAAACCTAAAAAACCTTATAAAAAAATCCAAGCACTATTTAAACATAGAAACACACTCAAAATCAACCCCAAAGTCAACTTTTTTGGTGTGTTTATAAATGGGTTTTGAGTGTGTGTAATGATGAGTTTTGGGTGTGTTTATAAAGTGTTTTGGGTGTAGGGTTTTTTTATAATTTCAACCTCCATTTTGGGTGTTTTAGTGAAACTCCCTTTAAAATTTCCTCATCCAAACGCACTGTAAATTTAAATTTTTATTCTTACATATATTCCGCACAAAATGGTAGTTTTTTAATGTAATGAAAATTTGCACAACACAAAGTTTATAGTTGACATTTATATACTCTTTGCAATGTAATTATACGTAGATAAGGGTGGACATGATTAACAAGAAATCCCCAAAGTCGTTTATATGGAACAAATCGATCCAATTAATCTTTTCTTGGATTAAAAGTTGATTTAATCGTTCTAAGAACTCAAAGGCAAGTTAAATGACCTAATTCTTAGTTAAGTATTATTGAATTTATTAAGTGTTCAATTGTTGGTCCGAAATATTTAATGTCGAAAAATCAATGCATTGTAGTCCATACAGATTTGATAATGGATGAATCTAAATTGTGCTTATCATTCTCAATCTTTCATACGAGATAGTTCAAATGGTTAAAAACGTTATTTATATATCCAAAATTTGATACTTTGTTTTTGAATCTCACTACCCAATCCAATATCACTTATATTATTATAAAAATTAAAATTAAAAATAAAAAAAAATCCGATGCTCTCATTATCTCATGACATAGTGACATAATTACCGAGTAAGAAATAAGTAAATGTGAGAAATTTGTTACACACATACTTGTGTAACACGGTGCAATGCTGAGGACATCACAGTGAATCAGAACCCAAACTGCAAAGGGCAAACTCTTTTGGTGGATCTATAATACAGTGGGACCCTCGGAACATCAATGTTTTTCGGAAAAAGCTGAAGCTGTTCATCAATCTGCCGACACTGTTGATGAGCAGTGACCACGTATCAGCTTTTCCCGATCAATTTCCACGTGGAAGAACAAAGGCCGTACGATGTAATGTGTCTGACGTCAGCTGCATT